TCTAGTTTCAGAACCTACTTGTGCAAGTTATCACATTCAGCTGAAGTCCAAATTGTGAACTCCTTATTCCCAATAGTGAGCAATTACTCACCCTGGGACAGCTTGAATGAGTCACTGTTAGCTAATAAGATGTTCATAGACAGGACCTAAACCCTTTTCTTTACTTCTTTGTGTGAAAATCCTAATGACAAGAGTCTTGAGCTGTGCTCCATTGTAACTATGTATGGAGGTGGGCTTCAGTGCTCCAGAGTATTTTGCTGCAGAGTGAACTATCTCCTTTGTTAGTGTTAGGTCCTGGAAAATTAGGCCTAGTGCAGTTATGCTAAAGCAGATGTGACAAAGATTTCTGGGTAGTCCCTGGGCAGAACTGGAGATAGGTTCAAGCAGGGACACACCCTACACGCTTGCTCAAGTTGCAAAATGAGATAAGTAAGAAGCTGCATTTTTGTACCTGCTGTGATAAGGAACAGTTTGTTTTGAGAACTGATAAGGAGACTCCCTGTTTCTGCTCTTCCCCTGTTTGTTCCAAACTCCCTGTTTATGTTCTCCTTTGGCCATAACAAACTGTCTCCTTGTTGCCCAGTACCTGTCTTTTGGGCTGATAAGAAATTGCTGATGCATTATGAATTGCTTAAGGCCATGATGTATAGTTGGCCAGGTGTGCATGGATACTAGAAGTTTCTAACTGATAAAGGGGGGTGGGTTGCTTGGGCAAATAGTCTATGATGTGCCGGAACTGTCTATATAAGCCTACCTATAAATGAAATTGGGGCTGGTTCTCTTTGGAGACGGGCTGCTCTCTGTTGTAGTGCGCACTATTCAATAAAGAGCTTGTGATTGGATCTTGCTGGTGTTGCCTATCTCTTTGCGGTCAGACAACGAACAGAGGCCGTCCGGGTTCGAGTCCCCGACATTAGCTATGGCTGCCGAAGAAAAGCAAGCCTTTGCAAAATGCACTGCTAACTGGTCACCTGACTACACTCAGACTCTGGTAAATCTCTGTGGCCTGGTCTACAATATAGAGGAAGGTCGATTTAAGATACACAACTCCAACTACGTAAAGTATGTAGCTGGAGTAAACCTATCTTAAGTCGTGTTTCTGCAAAGTCCACCAAGTGGGAGGTCAATGGGAACAAATGCTCCCATTGGCTTCCCTTACTCCTCATGAGGAGCAGGAGCACAAGCACTAATGGGTGCACCCTCTGAGTTTGATTTAGCAGGTCTTCACTAGACCCACAAAATCAAACCCTGAAAGATTGACCGCAGCAGTGTCGATCTTCCATGACATGGCTTGTGTGAGTTGGGCAAGGAACATAGCCTCAATCAGAGTACCACATGTACCAAGCATCAGCAGGGAAGCTGGCAGTGTTGGTTTCGAATTCAGTAAGAAAGTTTGTTACCATCTCCTCAACGGAGCTGTGACCAATGCAGAGAGTAGATCAAGCATCTCAGGAACTACTATCGAAAAAGTGATGAAGGCTTCATGCTCTCGTTCTCAGATGCATCCAAGAAGCATCAGGGAACTTAACTGTAGCACTTAGCATATACTGAAGCAGAGTTTTGCAAAGCAATATTTTTTGGCCTCAAGATTGCAAAGGCAGATGTAGTGAACCTTTCCAAAATTCTGAGACCAATGTACTGTTTCATATTGTTTTTAGGCCCTTCCATTACTCCAGGGAAGTCACCAACTAAGAGGGGGCTGGACAGCATACTATCAAGATGAGGTCAAAGAGGAAGTGTGTTCATGATGATGTATATCCTACACAAGGCCACACACCAACTACAGTACCAAATGGAGAAGGATGCAAAGCAAGATGAAAGGCAGAGAGATGTGGCAGAGCACCAGATGAGGCTCACAGCCCAGTTTTTGAGAGGGAACACAGAGTACAGAAAAGACCTGGCTGAAAGGCTGCCTGCACACATGGCCAGCCTCTAGACTCCACCCCATGCCACTTCCTGAGTGCCCTCTCCAGGTACCCAGTCCTGCAAAACATGAAACCCATTAGACAACTTTACAGTTGAGTGGCCCAGGCAACCAAGATTGAATGCTAGTTGGAGTGGGCAAATATACCCTGTCCTCCACCCCCATACTGCAGTGCCAAGTGCCCCCAAGACACACCGGAAGGAGAAGGAGAACAGGTGGGTAGGGGCCACCCAGTTTTTTCCCCCCTGGTTTCAATGTGTGTTACCAAATAGAGATTTTAAATGACTACATCTCTTGAGTTATAAGAGGGATGGATGAACTTAGTCCAAATGAATTTAAATGTAATATCTGAAAATAACAAAAAATGTTCACAGATTAACTCAACCTTCGAATTGGGAGCTTGTTTCTCTTCCCATACTGCTTTGTGAATGTAAACATGTGGTGAATTTATCACTGTGGAAGACTTGCATATAATGATTTGAGTTTGAAGTGTTAGAGTTTGTGAAATGTGTCTAACACAACACATTTTCGGTTGCCCCTATCTTTGCCAACCTAACAATTTGGCTGAAAGTTTCCATCTTTGCTCTCCGTGTCAGGCTGAATGCTTTAAGTTTTGTGCAAAAGCAGTTAATCTGATTCTAAGGACGAAATAAAGGAAAACCAAACATAAAATGGTGGCATTAGTAAATGTCTTTCTTTGGAAAGTTCCAGCACCTTCATTCTTTGAAGGGTAATTTGAAATTTGGTAGGACGGGCTCTGGGATGAGAGAGGTGCTCTTTTTGCAATCCAAAGGAAACTCCATCCAGATTTGCTTGGTTTAAACTTCTCAAAATAGCCGGTTGGATGTGCTCAGGAGAGCCTTTTAAAGATGTGCTGTCATAGTCTTTGGAGTTGCCATTGGCCCTGAGCATGCATCCTGACAAAGCAGCAAACCTGCCACTGCTGATTGCAGTTAAGGGCCTGTTCCTAACAATTCTGTGCACTTCACTCTCCTTATTGTTAAGTAATATGCGCCAGTGGCAATTCTGGCAGACCCCAGAATAGATGCTGCTCTCTAATGTGGCAGACAGAAGACTCATCTGCCACCTTAGAAAAATTGTACAAAATGTAGATGCTTTCTTGTGCGTCTGTAACTAGTAGAACTACAGCCTGCTCCAGAAGCAGTAACAAAACTCAGGAATTCTGGGCTCTCATTTTCCCACAGATGTGGGGAGAAGAGTTGTGTAAGCCAGAGGTAAGGTGTATGTTTCATCCCTCTTTAATAGCTCCACACAGGCTAGTACCCTACTACTGCTTTAGCTCAGGAGACAGAGGTCTGTACCATGCATCTAACCACATCTTGGCCCTCTGGTCATGGCACAATACTTGTTTCTCCTTCCTGGGATATCAAAGTCTTTCTTCACTAGCAGTTTCCCTTTTCTCTGCCACCTAAGGTGCCATTTCTTCAGAGACTGGCAGGGGAACCTAGACCTACCCTCTACTTAGGTGTTCAGCTTAGGACTCCCCTAATCAGCATCCAAGGTCTTTTCCCTCTTGGACTTTACTGCTTTCCCCGAGCCATTTCCTTACTTTCTGTCTCTCCGCCCACTCTTGGGGTTTGCCAGCCTCATAACTGTATCCTCCCAGGGAGTAAGAGTAGGCCACTTGCCTCTGTAGCCCCAAACACTTTTCCCAGGGAGTGACTGCACACTTCTGCCCTGAAGCTCCCGCTGCTATCAGCTGCATACCTTTGTAAACTCAGTCCAGCTCCTTTCTCCTCAGCTGGGCTCCTTCACGTAGGAATTTGGGGACCTTTAATTTTAATGCTGAATTTCTTAATTTAGGTCCTTTTCCCTATTTACATTCAGTTCATGCTATTTTCACGTTAGTCTGCCACATGTTGGTAAGATCTATGCAAATGAGCACCATCATAACACAGGTATCTTAATGTGAGTCTTAGACTAGTGTGTTGAAGTTATGAGAGCTAGCTAGTCTCACTCTGTAAAGATTCTAAAAAGTGCAGTTATGATGCAAGCTTTAAACAGGAGCACTCTGAAATAAGTCATGCAGATAGGGGGTGTGGCCAATAACAGTTAATGTATAACTAACTGGCACATGACCCAATCAAAGCAGCTTTACTGAGTTTGGAGCACCCTGTTCTAAAACAGTGGGCAAGGACAGCATTTCCTTTTTGCTGGATGTATCTATATTGCAGTGTAATCTCAGGGTTCAAAATCACACTCAAGACTAGCCCCCTCCTTTTTTGTCAACATGCAAATTACACTAACCAAGGGCTCGGCCCAAGGTTCCAGGACACCATAGGGATGGAAGGTCTGACGCTCAGTCAAGCTGAGATCCTGTATTTAAGCCCTATTACATTGCTGTGTAGATGCAGTCCCACTGGACTCATGCTCCAGGAGTCTCCAAAAGTGTCCTAGAATCCCCTGGGCTGACTTTCTTTGTCCTTGGACAGTCACGTTTTCCCACACTGCCTCAAGAACAAAAGATAAGAGTGCCTACATTTTGGAAAGGTACGAAGAAGCCTGGGATGTGGTGGTGGTGGTGGGTAGCTAGATTCAGGCTCAATAATGTAGTGTAGCTGTTAAAGCCCCAGGCTGGGTTCAACAGTTCGAAAATTGGGGTTGCAGTTCAGAGTAGACGCTCAAGCCCTACATTAACCCAGGAGTTGTTAATACACATCCTACTACCTCAGGCCTTACATTTCAGTCTAGACATACCCTAACTCTTTTAGAATCCAGATAGTGATTTTTTTACCACATTATTCTCTTTGTAATGAGATTTTCTTCATCTTTTTTCTACAAGTCTTTCAATTCAGGGACATCATTTGATGTATGTATTTTTCCTGTTATGCTTTTGCTGTTTTCTTATTATAATTTTATATATTCATGTGTAGCTATACAAACGAGTCAAAGTAAAACTAACATAGAGTGCCTTAATTGTAAAATCATCACACACAGCTAAATGAAAGGCTGCACTATTGATTACCAACTTAAAATATTTATTTTTAACAAGTTCTGTAGTATTTTAACTGGACCTGAGAAATTGCCTTATCAGTTTAGATGGACTCTGCTGAAAGTTTTAAGACATGGAAGCATATTCTGTCACCCATATGTTATGTGTATGGTAAGATTTTAGTTTTTATTTCAGCAGCATTTTCTTTGAGAAATACAATTTTCTGAGTAAAGGATTTCTGGTCCCTGTATTTTGAAAGGAAGATGAGGAAAAATTGGTACCATCACCAAAATAAAAATAAATATTTAATCCAGTCTCATTAAATCCCCCTCCCTCTATAAGTGCCATGATTGACTTACAAAATAGCAAGTAGAAAAGCAGTCTATTGCCACATATACAGAAAGTAGATTTCAATAAATCTCAATTAGCTAATTAATTATCTAACTATGCTCTGTGACTTTATAGATATTTTTCCATCATTTCAATAATTTCACTGTACACACGCTTGGCTGCATCAAGACCCCATATGAAATCCCAGTGGTTCCAGTCAGAAACATGCTTGTGGTAAATCAGGTTAGTAATTCGAGGGAGTAACATGTCAATATCCTTTGAGTCTACAACCCAGTCCTCTCCACCGGACCATACTGCAGTGGGCACAGTCATATCTTCTATCTTATAGAAGGGAGGGACAGACTGAAAGACAAAAATGTAAGTCTGAGAAGCTGTCTTAATTTTTAAAGAAAAACCATTAATTAGCCAATTGTCAGTGTCATCTGTGATGATCTGTTTTGGGGCAGCATTTCTCAAACCCTAGTCTACACAGCACCTGCTCCTGCTCCGTAAAGAGCTGCCTTCTATAGGTGTCCCAACTGATCTTTGTAATGTAGCAGCTGGGTGCCCATTAGGGCAGTTGGAAAGTAGCAGGATAAGCCTGCCTAGTTTCCTCACTAGGGATCAGTGCTACTTGAGAGAAGGAGCAGGAAAACAAACTGAACTGTTCTCTGAGACTTGCTGCTGGAAAGGAGTTACCAGTGCAGGAGGAACCAAGATCCATGCAGCTGAAAACAAACATCAGTGGAGAAAGGAGCCAGGCAGTATGTAGAGGAGATCAGAGGAGAAGGGAACACATAACAGGGGAATCAAAAATTTCAGAGGGGGCAGCCGTATCTATATGTTTTTTGGTTGGTCTCTAATAAGGGTGCATCTACACAGCACCCTAAACTCGAAATAAGATATGCAATTTGCACTCTTTCGTCTCTTATTTCAAAATAGCTTATTGTGAAATTTGGTGTGTCTACATAGTGCTAAATTTCAAAATAATGCACTATTTTGAGCCATTCCCTATCCCTCATGCAACGAGATTTATTGGGATGGAAAAAATTATTTCAAAATAACGGGCGGCTTGTACACAGAGTAGCTATTTTGAGATACCTCCAGTACCTTGGGCTTTGTCTACATTGCATGGCTATTTTCAAAATAATGGGTGCATTATTTCATGCCATCCTGGTAAAAGATGACTGGGATAAGGGATGGCATGAAATAGCACATTATTTCAAAATTTGACAAAATGTAGATGCAAAATAAGCTATTCTAAATAGATTTGAAATAAGATATGCAATTTGCGTAGTGCAAATTGTGTATCTTATTTTTAGTTTAGGGTGCTGTGTAGATGCACTCTAAGGTGCTATAGGACCTTTGTTGTTTTTTTAAGTTTTTTAGGACAGGGGAATGTGTTAGAAGGGAACTGAAACACGTACAAAAGGGAATGGAGAAGTAAGGAACCTGAAGGCTTGCAAGGAGAGAGGAGGACCCAGAAGCAGGGGAGTATGTGCAGGAGGAGACAAAGGCCAATTAACAATGACCTTGTGTAGCAGGGAACACAGGGCAAGACAGTGAAGGTGAAGGCAACCAGATGGCAGATGAGCAGGTGCAGAGAAGCCAGGAGAAACAGAGGAAATGAACAAATGATAGAAGAGATTAAGCCCTGGTCTACACTAGAGAGTTATTTTGAAATAACTCCTCTTATTTCAAAATAACAAGTGGAACACCCACACTACCAAGCCCGCTGTTTTGAAATAAGAGGCTGGTTATTTTGAAATAATAAGTCCTGCTTTCCACGAGGAATAACACTTATTTTGAAATAGCAGTAGCATAGATGCTCCACTGCTGCTATTTCGAAATAATTACTCCCCAAAGTCATTCAAAGTAATTACTCCCCCGGGCTCTAAGTCAAGGTAGTGCTTCCATATTAAGGGAGGCTGCCTTGGATTAATTTAGAGGCTTCCCTGTAGTGTGGACACACTATTTCAAAATAGTTATTTCGGGAGTTATTATTTCAAAATAAGTTATTTTGAAATAATTTCCTAGTGTAGACATGACTTAAATGGATAGCAAAAGGAGACTGTATGATTAATATTATCATATGAATGAAACCCTAAATACTAAAAACACCCTAAAAATCCATAAACTGAGGCTAGGTTTCCTTTAGACCAATGCTGTAACACCATAGGGATGTGTTGTGATTGAGAGTAGGAAGGGAGCGGACCATTCTTATTTTTAAAAGATCACTTTTTGTTCAATAAAAATCAATAAAAAAAATTTCCCCCTACCTGGTTGTACTTTGCTTGGTTCTCACTGCCATAGTCAAAATATTTGAATTCTCCTGATTTAACTGCCTAGCAAAATGAAGAAATGAAACAGTAAAATTAGATACAGGATTATTCTTATGCCTTCGCATGTTAGTGTGCAGTTCTGCCTAAACTATCATGAAACAATATTACAGCATGCAAGGCTTTAGTTAGGCATTTTGGATGAATTTTTGGCAAAACACTCATTGACTTCAGTAGGCTCAAAATGTAATCCTTTGCATCTACAAAAGCATATTTTGGGCATAAAAATAATAAAACAATTGCATGCACTTCTTAACAATCATTTCTCACTTTTCATTGCCATTAATTTTTAATCTGTAGATACTAACAATTTTTTTTATTTCTGTTTACTTCATCATTAATATTGTAAAGATGGAGTGGTTTTTTGAGAACTTCGTATTGACAGACTTTGGTATTACATCACCCATGATTTTTTTCCATCTCTTTTTCTTGACACCAATAGTCTCTTAAAATATATAAATCAGGGTGGGGAACCTACAGCCTGAAGATTGGATCTGGTCCTTGGCTTTCTTAGATCTGGTCTATGATAAGGTAAAATCAGTTCAATAAATTATTGGAAAATATCTAGATTCCCTGAGTCATGTCCCTCCTGTGCACAGAATGATGCATGGATGGCCCAATAGAAAAAAATAGCATGTGATCATGTAATAAAAGACAGTCATAATATGCACTAGGGTCTTAATTATGGTTGCATGGGCAAAATTTATTCTGGCATTCATCACTTCTGAGTGTGTGGCTTTACAATTGTAATATTCATAGTTTTCCTACATGCCTGTCCTTTCAAATCAACGCTCTCGGTAAACAATGTCAGAGATGGAGCTCAAATGACAGCATCAATATTAAAATCTCATTGATAAATAACAGCCTTCCTGTTCTGAATAAATCAGGTTTTAACTATGATCAGAAACCTCAAGGGAAAGTATAAACCACAGAGTATTGAAAGTTTTCAGGTCTACCTGGGCCCAGTGTATTACATTTTTAGCAGATGTTCCATCTGGAAAGTGGTCTGTGTATACATCCAAACGACTCTGCAAAAAAACATTTTTAGGATACCATTTGTTTTGTCAGTGCAATGGGAAAAAGTCAGGATTCAACATAAACAAAACACCATTCAGTTCAGTAACTACTGCATTACAAATCATCCAAACCTGAGCAAGTTGGATGTCCAGAATATTGAAAAAATTTTAAAAATATACTTCTTTCATATTTGTTAATTTTAAAACCAATGAACGATAGTTCCTCCAAAAGTACTAAGAAAACACCTGTAATATTAAGCTCTTCTTAAATCTATTCCAAGGTTTGATTTAATTATGTGTGAGTTTTGATTCTGAGACAGATAAAAACAGGATTGTAATATTTGTCTGAATTACCTCACAGTTTTATCACATGTAGATTCTGGAGGAAAGCTATGTGGATGGATTCTGGTGACACTGTGAACTAGCTGGATTATCAAACCATCTGAACATGCATTAACAGGAATTTGTAAGCAAGACACAAGAAGTAATTCTTCCATTCTATTCTGTGCTGATTAAGCCTCATTTGGAGTAGTGTGTCCAGTTCTGGGCACCACATTTCAAGAAATGTCGAGAAATTGGAGAGGGTCCAGAGAAGAGTAACAAAATGATTAAAGATCTAGAAAACATGACCAATAGGGAAGACTGAAAGAATTGAGCTTGTTTAGTTTAGAAAAGAGAAGACTGAGAGGGTACATGATAGCAGCAACGGAGGTTTAGGTTGGACATTAGGAAAAACTTCCTAACTGTCAGGGTGGTTTAGCACTAGAATAAATTGCCTAGGGAGGTTGTAGAATCTCCATCATTGGATATATTTAACAGCTGGTTAGATTAACATCTATCAGGGATGATCTAGAAGGTGTTGGTCCTGCCATGAAGACAGGGGACTGGACTTAATGACCTCTGGAGTTCCCTTCCAGTTCTAGTATTCTATGATTCGATAAAACAAGTGGGAGCTGCTCTCTGGAAACAGGGAGCTAGGAGGCTGCTGAAACAGCCTCATGTAGGAACTGTAGGAGCAGCCAAGATTGAGTAGAAAGCCGGGCTGAACTTTGTTTCCTGTCATTAATTTCTGTGCTTATAGAGCCTACCCTCCAGCAGGGTGAAAATCGTTGACTTTGCATATTGCATGGGACTTTGTTTCAGAGTGGATTGAGTCAGGAACCAGCTCACATGAAACATAATTTCTATTTTATATTTTTATACAGAGAATTCCAGATTGCCATATACATGATACCTCTGGGAAATGGATTACTATTGGATTGTCAACATTTCACCGGAAACAATATTAAATGCACCTGACAAAATACGTTTGCAAAATGTGTATGGTAGTGGGTACCTCGCAGTGATGCCAACAGACATTACTGTGTCAGTCTTTGGCTGACTAGTGACTATTAAGCCTACAGAGAGTTTAATAATATTACTGATAAATATCAGACAGCAACTGGTGCCAGTTAGTTGAGGAACCTCAGACTTTTCTTATCTGAGCAGCATTCTTGTGTAGGAGAGGTTAGGGTTGAGGAATGGAATTCACACACAAATGCACATGTTGTTCTTAAGACCATAGCATAACCCATATATGGTCACTTAATCGCTATACTGTGCTACTGTATGGTCTCTTGAATAATGTTTTGGGGATAGTGGATTCAACAGCCTCTCTCCTGCCTGAATGGAAACCAATGAAGACTGCCTAGATAGCATTGAAAATTGAGCACAGCAACTCACCCTGCACAACTGCGCTAGCCACAGCATGCACTTGCACCCACCTGTCCCAGCACGTACATAACACTGCTGTTATGTTAGCCAGAGCCTGGGGCTGCAGGCTGTAAACTCCAAAATAATCTGTGATATGTTAACGCCATGTTAAACATTTACGCTGCTTCATTGAGAAAAAGACAGGTAACACATTAGTCAAACCACTAAGCTGACTGTGGGCTCCAGACATTCCCAGTCAAAATGGTTAACATGACCTGTGTTATTGAGGCATTTGTTTGTCCAGTTTCATCATGTTTGAAAATTGCTAGCAAAACTCCAACAATTAAAGATCTGTGCTTTACTGATACCAAATTAAATAATCACACATTTGGCACAAATTTTGCTGAACTAAAAAAGTTATCTTGATTTTAACCATCATTAAAAAAACAGACTAACGCAGATATACACACATACCATATTCAAGTTTTTCTGATTGAATCCACCCGCAAAGAAAAACAAATTGGCACAAAGTCTATTAGGTAATTCATAGCAACATATTTTAGCAGTAATCTCCTTCATAGTCTTGCCCCAAAGGCAGAAATCTTTTTTGCCTAGAATAGCCTGTGAAAACACAAAGGACATTACTTAACAGTGAACTTTCAAAATGTATCTTATATAGTTCCCTTCTCACCATTCAGGTCTGATCCAGGTTATACCCTTAATTGACTTCTTGGGGGTTCTGATGTGTTTACTAGGACCACAACTATGCATCCATAAATTGTGTATTCCACAAATGTCACAGTTAATACATGCATACCTCATGGAATTCTCCTTTATTCAAGGCAAGAAGGTAGACGCGCATTTATACCTCCCCCTACCGCCCAGCCCTGACCTGTACAGATATTTCAAAAGAAATGCATCAGCACTGTATCAATACAGTAAGCTAAAGGTAGAAGCGCATTTATACCTTCCCCTACCGCCCAGCCCTAACCTGTACAGATATTTCAAAAGACATCAGCACTGTATCAATACAGTAAGCTGAATATGAAGTTGGAAAATTCACATTCAGATACCTTCTACTTCCATTTTTTACAAAATAAATTTTAAAAAGATACTTGAATAAAATATTAAAATGGATAATTCAATCATACTCATGTCAGGAATTCAGCAGGTATGACTGCAAGCAGGGATGTTTATTCTGCCACTTGCACAAACTGTGAGCATTATGAAGGCATATGTTTAACAAAACAACCACAAACATTACTGCACATAAATATGCTGTGGCTGAATTAATATATCAGAGGCAATCTAAACTGCTTACAATGTATTTCCTTTTGTATTAACTGATAGCAAGGAACACCTGTTCAGGTACAAAGCCTCTTTTAAAAACCAGTACTCAGGTGAATAATAAAATACAGAGAAATCTCATACCTTTAATGTTTCTTCAGGAATTCGTAACAGTTTCACTATTGGGCTTTTGACATGTGCAATGGTGGCAGCAGGAGACAAGGCAAAAAACATTTTGACTTTCTGTGCTAGCTGTGGCATGGAGGAAAATGCTATTAAAGCTGAGAAAGTAAAAGAGAATAATTACAGAAATTTTACAAAATATAATCTAATACCTACAGGCATTTGTTTAAAACCTCCATCAGAGGGCTCATCAGGACTCATCATGTAGAGCTGGTTCAGAAAAAATCAGCTCTAGTACAGAATGAGGGAATATGCATGCACTTTGGGAAGGCCCTTTGACTATAGCTTAGCCAGGCATTGACACAAGAGCACTGTGTCTGTGCTGAATGATGCAATTTAGCCCAGAATAAGAACAGACAGAAATGGAATTGTATCAAAGTCATCATCACCATTTCAGAGGAAATTATTGGGATATTAATTCATGATCTTGCTGGTTAACATTTATATCACTTTGACAATAAAGATATTAAAAGGAGAATATTTCTTTATTTCTGTGGTCAAACATAGTAAGGATATAGACCTTTTTAATGCCTATTGCCCAGAAGCAGTTGTCTTGATTACTGGTTATTGAGACTAAAAGGATAGCATCTCATCCTTATTGCTGACAGAAAATATAACTTAATAGGCCTAAGTTGGAACAGTGAGCTCATTTTCACATTTAGGCTACATCTATACTGCAGCCTTCGTCTGCAAAAGCTTATGCAAATGAAGCGCAGAGTAGAATATTGCCACGCTTCATTTGCATAATTAACTAGCAGCCATTTTTGCACAAGAAGCTTTTGCGCAAAAAGGAGCTGTGTAGACAGCTCCTTTTTGGGCAAAAACCCCCTTTTTCACAAGAACCGTTCTTCCTCATTTTTTCAGGAAGAATGGCTCTTGCGTAAGAGGGGGATTTTGCGCAAAAAGGAGCCATCTACACAGCTCCTTTTTGTGCAAAAACCTCTTGTGTAAAAATGGCTGATAATTAATTATGCAAATGAAGCATGGTGATATTCTACTGCTTCATTTGCATAAACTTTTGTGGAAGAAGGCTGCGGTATAGACGTAGCCCTAGGTTAGACTGTCCACTAGTATGGAACAAAGGAGCACCATGCATTTCACTGAAAATAAAAGCCACCAACTTGGTGCAGTGCCCCTTGGTTAATTATAGAGGGTCTCCTGGTTCCTTCAGCAATTAAAGTTTTATAGATCTAAATTATAGTAAAAAATTACATTTGTCACAGCAACATGAAGTTTAGTAAGAAAAGGGCCTTTGCTGACCACCAAGATCTCTGTGGTTGTCCTTGGTATTTTTGGCCCTCCCTGATTACATCACAGAAACCAGGGCTTCAGTACGACCTTTACCTGAGTAAGGTTTGATTGAAAACAGAAAGGAATTGTGGACTTAGGCCTGTATAAATTACCTGAACAATGTTACGCAAAAATGGGAATAATCTCTGCATTTTTCTGATTATAAACATATGAAAGAGTTAATAATATCCCCAAGAAAGTTTTCCTTACTTAAAAGAAAGAAAAGTACAATTCTAATGCACCAAATTCTGCTAGCATACCTATAGTGCCACCCTGAGAGTAGCCAACATAATAGAGTTGCTTCAGTCCAGTTTCCTGGAGAATGAAGTTTATCATGGCTTGAAGGTCATATATGCCCATTTCATGAAAACTGCAATATAAAAAACCATGAAGTTAGCCACATACTGAAGTCACAGAGTCCGATCCTCAAGTAAGTTATGGCTCCTAGGGGCTGGAGTTTGGGAGCAAATTTCCAGGAGAACGTTACCATTGTGTAAGAAAGCTCTCTGCTGAGTGCAGCTGTATGGGACCTAGAGCTGTGCTGCTGGCTACTGCCCTTTCCTTCTCTCAACCAACTAATTGGGTCTTTAAAAGCCTTCTATCCATGCTGCAGCTTTGAGCTGTTCAGCAGCAGCTGACAGTTTGCAAGGATTACTCTCAGAATCTGGGAGCTCTAAACAGCTTTTCAGCTAGCAGAGCTCTGGCTAGGGGAGAATCTTACCAGCAAATCTTGCCCATGTGCATTTGAATGCAACACTGGGGAGCCATGGATCTGTCAGATAACAGTTCAAACTGTTCAGCCCTGTCCAGCCTAGGTTTGCCAGCCTAGAGCTTGAGTTTTTGTTTTACAGGTGCTTTATTCTATGTTATGCAGGTGCTTTATTTGTTTTTCTGTAGTGGGAGTGTTTACAAGCTTGGGAAGTACAAGACTGCTTTCCTGGCCAAGCCATGAAGTTTCAGTTCATGTTAGCCCAAAGCTCAGCTCTAAAGGAAAGCAGCAATGTTCTTTAAAAAAGATATTCTAATAACTAGACACACTCACAACAAGCTTGTCAGAAAATGGCTCAGCTCTAGTTAAATAAGGAGGCATTAGCCAGTTGGAAAGCTTTTGTGATATTACCTGACTCATGTATTCGTGCATGTTATGCCTGGAACGGAATGTGCAACTGCACGTTTGCATGGTGCAACCTGCTCCTTATAGTTTACCTTGCTCACTCTGATCTGGGACAAATGGAAGAGGACAGGACCTGTTCCATGCTCTTCCCTACTCTCTATGGAAAAAATGCATCCCCCTGGTACAAGGACAGAGCAATACTAGTTCTGCTGTGTGCTCAGGGGGTGACTGTCTTTGGCCACTGGGGAGAAATTCAGTGAGGGAAAGATTCCTTGTGATGGTTAATGAATTAAACATTGCTGTGGGTGACTAATGGCCCTGACAATTACACATGTCAATGCAAAGGTTCTTTTTAACTCTGCACTTACATCTGAAATCAGTGGCATTAACAATGTGAACACAGGATGCAAAAAGAGGCGCTCTGCTGATTTGCACTGATGGCCTCTCAGTGCCTTGGAAATGGAGTCAACTGGAAATTTGTACAAAATTACAGATCTAAATCCTATAGGAACACTACTTCTGTGTACCAAGCACACAAACTGACATTCACATGGATTCCCACGCCTACAGAATTGCCAGGATGTGAAACAAATTTGCCACCTTCATTAGTCTCTCTCCAGTTCATTCTACCTGAAATCCCAAAATTCCTCTTGGTCAACTGAAAATTTCTGGTGTCTTCGTGACCACGTAGTCCCTCTGCTGTTTCCTATCCAAACATCATAGCCTGCATCTGCTAGCATGAAGCCCAGGCTGTTGTTGGCCAAATTTTCGACCCAGTTGCTACCTTCAGCAAACAATCCATGCTGGAGAAGGACGGCTGGCTTTGGACCTAAATAAATGGAATACTTTACCAAACCTGAATTTCTGTAACATGGCAAAGTGACATATTGTATTTCACTTACTCCAAACACATGTTGATAAAACCTTCATATAAGAGAACATTCATATGTATGATAATCCATGGCAAATAATTAGCTATAGTTAAAAAGCAACTGTAAAGAGCGGCTTAGAATGGAAATGTTTATGGAATTTTATGGCTGATATTAGAATTTCATATTTATATATATGTATAAATAGCTGTAAAGCTCCTAACTGCTCTAGTTAAATATTTCCATTAAAAAAATCCCTTTTTAGTTCTCATAAGGCTGGTTGCCTTACCTAACAAAACAAAACAGAACAAAATATGCAAAAGTCACAAATTTATAGGAAAAATATCATTGTGCAACAGACATCTAGCCTCTCCTGTTCTCAAACATGCATCTTTGCTAATGTCAAAATCCATTATTCTTATCATTCTTAATTTTTCCCATCCTGTTTATTCAGTAAAATCATGAACATAAATACATTTGTAAAGATTTGATTGATTTTCAGTCTGAGATCTGGGTTCAGGATTTTCCCACAGATATTAAACATGGCTCCAATATATCTTTTTTTTCCACTGGGTATGTCTACGCTACAGTGTTATTTCGAAATAGCTTATTTCGAAATAATGCGTCTAGTCAGAAAATGCATTTCGAAATAGCATTTTGCTATTTCGAAATAGCGTGACCACACTGAAAGGATGCTGAATCTCATTTAAGGCTGGCCAGAAACAGTTCTGGCAGGGCATCAGGTCAGGAGTTACCTTATGTGGCTGTTGCCTGGGGCTAGCTGAGACCTGTGCTTAAAGGGACCCCTGCCCCGGACAGCCAGTTCTAAGGTTTCCCTGCTTTCTTGCCTACATCGCTGAGGGACAGCAAAGCATTTTTTTCTCTGCATGCTCTGGTTGCCCTCACTGGTTGCCCTCAGCACAGCACTCTACAGCATGGAGCTGGAGCCACCCTTGGGCACTCTGGTGCTTCTCCTGGACATGTTGCTGCGAGCCTGGCAGTGCGTTCTGCAGGCAGTAACAGTCTCCTTGGTGTGCCCCACTGGGGGCTTGTGCCTCATTCCTCCCTCACGTCCTTCCACTTACCCCTCCCTAACCCCCCTTCCTGCTGTACAATAAAAGACGTGTTCATTACAACAAAACCTCTTTATTGAACAAAACTGGGGAGGGGGGGAATGAAGGTGGGAGGGGGAAGGAGGAGGGTGAGAAAGGGGAGGGGGAAACCTGGGAAGAGGGAGCTGGCAGGGGGATGCAAGGGGATAATCATGTGAGTTGCAGAATGAAGTCAAACAGTGAAGAGCTGCCACAATGGCTAATTTGATGATGTGTGTGCATGCATGCTTTGTTTCGTGCATAAATGCTATTCTAGGGATACAGAATTGCTCATTTTTATTGTAATTATGAAAGTGTAATGGCATTTCCTAGACAATGTTTTTCCTAAAATGTATAGCTCTGATATTTTCAGAATTCATAACTCATAGGATATTATACTGTGAAGATTTCTGGAAGTGAAGGATAATGAATTGTGTTACATAAAAGGCTGTTTGTGAAAATAAGCCCATACTCTTATGTCAAAGGTTAGCGGGTATTATTTTAGTATATTAGGTGATACAGAGGTGCTTCACACAAATATTGGGAAGAGATCAGGGATTCTGTAGTGCTCAGTATTGTAATGTGGAATGCAATCTTGCAACATTAGACATTTTTCTTACTGAAAGACAATACAATCAGTTTGGAGGCATCCCCCCAAACCTGAATTAGGTCCCTGATCTCCACACGGAACCAGGCTCCTGGGAACTGGAAGACTGCTCCTGGGGAGTGGTGGAGGGCTGGCTGGCACTGGCTGCCTGGCTCATGTTGGGGTCATTAGGTCAGGTGCAGCAACTGCTGGCTATGGGCTGACAAGCTTAGTGCTGGCACAGGCACTGTGGCCAGTGTCTACCCCTTTAAGGGCTCTGGGGAGGGGGGAAGAGAGAGGAGTTTTCTTGGTTGTGCCCATAGTGGCCACCATGGCACCTTGGAAATTGCTGGAGGCCCCCTATTTCAAAATAAGTGTCTACACAGCACTTATTTTGAAATAGCAATTTGAAACCTCATGGAATGAGGTTTACCAATTTCAAAATAAGCCCTCCGCTTTTTCAATTTAATGTCAAAATAGCGGTTTGGCTGTGTAGACGCTGGTAAAGTTATTTTGAAATAACAGCTGTTATTTCAAAATAACTTTGGTGTGTAGACCTACCCACTTGGATTGGTAGGTTGTTTGGTTGGTTGGTTTTTAAAATTTTGGATAAGTGTTATTTGGAGTTTTACGCATCAAGCCAAAATGGAGCCATACCTCTGTCTGTAGGTTTCTCTCTTCCATACGGAATTCTGTTTATTCTCAAGTAATAGCCATCCTCTGTCAAAACTTCATACTCCTCACTTGGATATCCTTTGTAGCAGATCAACTGACTCTGAGAAAATTAAAATAAATTCCTAAGATTCTTTACATAGATCAGATTTTCCATCATCTGTTGCAGGGAAGAGGTATTTCCCATTTGGAAGTATCAGAATGTGTGCTTTTAAAATTGTTTTACTTTGTTTAAACTGGGATATAGAACAATACAATGCTGAGAGAATCGATGAGTCTGACTGTATTCCTAACCTCCTCTAAACAATACTTTTGAAGTACAGGCAGTCCCCGAGTTACGCGGATCCACTTTTAAAATTGTTTTACTTTGTTTAAACTGGGATATAGAACAATACAATGCTGAGAGAATCGATGAGTCTGACTGTATTCCTAACCTCCTCTAAACAATACTTTTGAAGTACAGGCAGTCCCCGAGTTACGCGGATCCAACTTATGTCGGATCCGCAGTTACGAACGGGACCCCTCCAGCAGACCAGGGTGAGGAAGCAAAGTGGCGGAACACGTGGGCAGCGGACAGCCCAGTCCGCTGCCCAAGCGCTCCGCGGGTTGGCTCCGCTTTGCCCTGCTTTTGCCCCTTCTCC